ACTTGGGCCATCCTCCATTGCCTTACTGGGTCATAGTAGAGAGCTGGACAGGAAGAGAAGCAACCAGGACAGATCTGGTGTCCCAGCTGGGACCAGAACACAGAGTTATGGCACCACAGGCAGCGGATTAAACTAGTGAGCTGCCAGCTGAGAAAAAACTTCTAAGATCAATCCCATTCACAATAGCTACAAACATAATCAAATACCTTGGAATAAACTTAACCAAAGATGTCAAAGATCTCTACGATGAGAATTAAAAAACCTTAAAGAAATAAATAGAAGAGGATACCAAAATGAAAAAAAAAAATAAAACCTTCCATGCTCATGAATTGGAAGAATCGATATCATCAAAATGTCCATTCTCCCAAAAGCTATTTATAGATTCAATGCAATACCAATATAAATACCAAAGATATATTCTCAGATCTTGAAAAATGATGCTGAAATTCATATGGAGGCAGAGGAGACCTCAAATCGCTAAAGCAATCTTGTACAACAAAAACAAAACTGGAGGCACCACAATACCAGATTTCAGGACATTCTACAGGGCAGTTGTTATCAAAATAGCATGGTACTGGTACAGAAACAGGTGGATAGACCAGTGGAACAGAATAGAAATACCAGAAATCAATCCAATCATCTACAGCCAAATTATATTTGATCAAGTATCTAAAACCAATTCCTGGAGTAAGGACAGTCTATTCATCAAATGTGCTGGGAAAATTGGATTTCCACATGCAGAAGCATGAAAAAGACCCCTACTTTACACCTTACACAAAAATCCACTCAACATGGTTTGAAGATCTAAACCTATGACCCAACACTATCAAATTATTACAGAACATTTGGGAAACCCTGCAAGATATAGGCACAGGCAAAAATTTCTTGGAAAAGTGTCGTTCCCTGTCTTCGTGGAGGAACGACACAGAACCCTGCGTTGTTCTTTTATCTGCTCGGCCCTCCCCGGGTTTGCTGCTGGTTCTTCCTGGGTTGGCTACCGACCCTTCCACCTCCGTGGAAGGGCAGTTCCCCCTAGCCACTTTCCCCACTTCTGCGGGGGAGCGGCACACCGCCGGCTGGCTCTCTCGGGGGCTGCACAGGTGTTCCTTCAAATAGATGTTCCCCTTAGATGTTTCTGGTGCATGTTGTCTCTCTCCTCCTTTATAGTCCTCCTCCGCCAATCCCAACTCGGCCACCCACACGCCGGGTACGCTGCTCTCCTCCAATCAGGAGCAGGATCAGCTCCTGGAGGTCATCACTCAAGTTGGCAAGAGGCAGCTGCGTAGAAGCTGTTTTCTCCTCTCCCAGCGCCATATTGTGGGAGAGCAGATGCATAGAATAAGTCTTAATTCCAGTAACTTAGTCCAGTCCAGGTTGCTCCCCACAGAAAAGACCTCAGAGGCACAGGCAGTCAAAGCCAAAATTAACAATTGGGATTACGTCAAATTGAGAATTTTCTTTATTGCAAAAGAAACAATCAGGAAAGTGAAGAGGCAACAAACAGAATGAGAAAGAATATTTGCAAATTATGCAACCGATAAAGGATTATTAAGTAGAAGCTACAAAGGGTTCAAGAAACTCCACAACAACAAACAATAAAACAAACAACCCACTTAAGAGATGGGCCAAGGACCTCAATAGACATTTTTCCAAAGAGGAAATCCAAATGACCAACAGACACATGAAAAAGTGTTCAGATCACTAGCCATCAGGGAAATACAAATCAAAACCACAATTATGTTTCACCTCACCCCGGTTAGAATGGCTTATATACAGAAATCAATTAACAACAGATGCTGGAGAGAATGTGGGGAAAAATGCTCACTAATCCACTGTCGGTGCGAATGCAAACTAGTAAAGCCACTATAGATGACAGTTTGGAGATTCCTCAGAAACCTGAATACAGCCCTACCTCATGACCCAGCCATCCCACTCCTTGGAATTTACCCAAAGGAAATTAAATTGGCCAATAAAAAAGCTGCCTGCACCTCAATGTTTATTGCAGCTCACTTCACAATAGCTAAGACATGGACTCAACCTAAATGTCTATCAACAGAAGACTGGATAAAGAAATTATGGGATATATATTCTATAGAATATGGAAGTAAAAAAAAATGAAATCCAGTCATTTGCAACAAAATGGAGGAATCTGAGGAACATGATGCTGAGTGAAGTAAGCCAGTTCCAAAGGGACAAATATCATATGTTCTCCCTGATTGGTGACAACTAACTGAGCACCTAAAAGGAAACCTGTAGAAATGAAATATACACTATTAGAAACAGTGACTTACTTGATCAGCCCTTGTCCTGACTGCCGAGGAACAACTTACTACTTTATTCCTTTTGGTATTTTTTGTGCTAATTAATATCATTTTTGAACTCTTTAATTAATACACAATTATCCTTAGTCATTTAAATTTAACTGAAAAGTGATCCCCGTTACATATAAGAGTGGGATTTAGAGAGGGAGGAGATGTACAGTTCAGCACATGCTCACTAGGACTTACCCCTAATGGTAGAGCTCGAAACGTGCCAGGGGATTCCAAATCAATCCCATTAAGGTGGCATGTACCAATGTCATCTTACTAGTCAATGTGATCAGTTTAATTTCATTATTGATGATATTGATGGGATTAAGTGTCAAAGGGATCACACAAACAAGACTAGTGTCTTCTAATACTAAGTGATAGAATTAAAAAAGAGAGAACGATCCAACATGGGAAGCGGGATACACAGCACACTCATAGGATGGCAGATGTCCTAAACAGCACTCTGGCTTCAGAATCAGCCCTTAAGGCATTTGGATCTGGCTAAAATGCCCATGAGATTTTCTCAGGCATGGAAAGCCAAGACACTGTGGCAAGAAAATGACCTAAATGAAAGATCTCTGTGAGATCCCAGTGGAAAGAACAGGCCATCAAAAACGGAGGTACCTTTCTCTGAAGGGAGAAGAGTACTTCCACTTTGACTATGGCCTTGTCTAAATAAGGTACTCAAAAGACTTCCATAGCCTTGGCAGCTCATAACAAGGGCCTCAGGTGATTACTGACATCATAAATAAGAGCGTCAATTGTTAAATCAATAATAGGAGTCTCTGTGCAACTACTCCCCGTGTAGGATCTCTGTCCTTAATGAATTGTACTATGTGAATTAATGGCAAAATTACTACTCAAACAGTACTTTACACTTTGTGTTTCTGTGTAGGTGCAAACTGTTGACATTTTTACTTAGTATATACTAAGTTGATCTGCTGTATATAAAGATAATTGAAACTGAATCTTGATGAATAATGGGATGGGAGAGTGAGTGGGAGATGGGATGGTTGGGGGTGGGAGTGAGGTTATGGGGGAAAAGCCGCTATAATCCAAAAGTTGTATTTTGGAAATTTATATTTATTAAATAAAAGTTAAAAAAAGAGAATAAAAAAAGAATGTGAACAAGGAGGGATGGAGATTTGGGGCTACTGTACACCAAGTCTCTCAAATGCAGTCAAAGGAAACACTAACATTTCTAATGGGTGATTTCTTCTAAGTGCCTTACATATGTATCCCATCGTATTAATACTAGTAACACAGTATACTAATTGTTGTTATATTGCCATTATTAAAAGAGTCAATAGAATGCATCAATATTCAATTCATTCTACTGGTGGACCAAATAATCAAAGAAGGGATTTTGATTCCAGTATCTGTTCTCTCAGCCTCTATTGAGTATTTCTTCATTTTTTGATGTGTGAAATTTTAAAGCAGTCCTCACTGAGCATTTACTCTGACTAATCATAGATTGCAAAGGCACTTAATTTTAGGCTGCATCTTGCCTGTAGAAACATTGTCTTGAAAAGCTCATAATACAGTTTGACATTCTGAAAGGCATAGACAGCTCTAAGCTTAATACAAGCAGTATGTGCCATGTATGCAGCTGCTTGTGACACCAACATCAGTGATGGGAGTGCTAGTTGAATCCTAGCTGTATTGCTTATGATCCAGCTTCCTGCTAACATGTCTGGGAAGGCTGCAGGATATGGCCCAAGTGCTTGGGCACATGCTACCCCTGTGGGAGAACAGGATGGAATTCATGGCTTCTGGCTTTGGCCTAGCTCAGACTTAGCTGTTGTAGGTAGCCATTAAGGGAGTGAACGAGCAGATGAAAACACTCTTTCTCTCTCTCTCTCAAATAAATAAATGACTCCTTTAAAAAGATTCTATTTTGCAAGAGTATTGTACTTGCTAAATGTAACCATGCTGTAATGTAATATATTCACTATGCTACACTGAACTTGAAAATATTATATTGTTAAATGACAAGCATGATGAAGGGGCATGGAGGGAGTTCATGCAGAAAACTATCTTTCCTGATCAAACAAAGATGAAGCAAATCTAACATTCAAGGTAAATAACTGCCCATGCCTGAGCAGTCCTGGCTCCAGAAGAGTGCATGCCACAGCAAATTAGTATTACTGACGAGGCAGACAAATGTGCCTGATGAGAATCACTGTGTGCAGATTTGATTGACTTCCAGGGAAAATCTACAGTGGATTTTAGATTTCTGTTTCTACTTGTTGAAAACAAAACAACAACAAAAATTGCATTGAGTGGACAAAAATCAATTTAATATAAAAATGAGTAATCTTTAAGAGCAGCATTTCACATTTTAGTATGTAAAAGTCATATATAGGGTCTTAAAGGAAACCTGAACTTTTCTGTTTTAAAAAATCTAAAGGGAATGAAAACATCATAATTTAGGGAAAAGAAAAAGTGGAGCTTTGTTATCTTAACAATTTTTGTAGTTCAGATAAAGGTGGATCTTCCAGGCCTCAATTATTTCTTTTATATAATTTTCATTCCTTACCATTTTCACATTTTGTTAAGTATGATGATATCCTTGTAAATAATTATACTGTGCTCCCTGATTGATACAATATTAAATTACTTTTATTCTGTTATTTTGTCTTTATCTCCGGTTGGCTATTCATGACCAATATTCTCATTATCATGTCATAGGTGAATAATTGAGGCCCAACCACAGAGAAATGTCCTGCATCACTCAAACCAGGGAGGACAAAGATGAGGCTCTAATTCCCACGTGCTTGAAACCACAAGCCATGCTGTTTCACTTGCGGTACGTTGCAAAGGTCAACACCTTACTCTTCCTGCACTTTGAGTATCTCTGTGCGTTCAAAAGAGAATGCATTCTCCATCAAGAGTCCTGAAGGTCAATTGTATGAATTCCACCCTTTCCAAATTAATCTTTTTTTAAGATTTATTTATTTACTTGAAAGTCAGAGTTACACAGAGAGAAGTGGAGCTAGAGAGAGAGAGAGAGAGAGAGAGAGAGAGAGAGAAAGATCTTCCATCCGCTGGTTCACACCCCACAGGGCTGCAACGGCTGGAGCTGTGACAATCCGAAGCCAGGAGCCAGGAGTTTCTTCCAGGTCTCCCAGACGGGTACAGGGACCCAAGGACTTGGGCCATCTTCCACTGCTTTCCCAGTCCTTAGCAGAGAGCTGGATCTGAAGTGGACCAGCTGGGACTCAAACCGGCGCCTATATGGGATGCTGGCACTTCTGGCAGCAGCTTTACCTGCTATACCACAGCACCAGCCCTTCTAAATTAGTCTTAAGTTGTCTAGGGAGCATGCTAAATATAAGCAGAAGTGGAATTTAAATAAGTCTTTCAAAACCTAGTCATGAGTTTACTGATTCTTCATATCTGCTGTCAATACTTGCCTTAATATTGTTCTTATGTCATTTTAAGTAGGTGGGGAAAAGTCAGAAGGCATCTAACAGAGTGATTCTTGGATTTCTGTCAACGACTTTTCCAGAATATAAGTTATCACAGCATTGGATGGAAGTTTGCAAGCTTAATATTTAACTGGTTTGACTTCTATTACAAGTGGTCTATACTGCAAAACTACTCAGCTCCTTATAAGAAGAAGGCCTGGGCACACATGCAAATAGAGGGAAGATAATGTGAAGATAACAGGAGAAGCCAGATGCCTGCAAGCCAGGAAGACAGACCTGGAATAGTTCCTTCCCTAGTGGTCCTCAGGAGGAAACAATGCTGCCAACAGCGTGATGCTGCCTTGAAGCCCAGTCTTCTGAACTGTGAGGCAATAAATGTCTATTGCTCAGGACACCAGTGTGTGTGGCACTTTGTAATGGCAGCACTAGCAAATGAATAAAATGTTCAAAGTGAAAATTTTTCCTGTGCCTCATCACAAACAAGAAGCATGCAGTTAGAGCTATCTCACATACATGAATGTCCATTTCCAACAGCATACGGTTATGTTAGTGTTCCTATCTAAGGCAAACAAAATGTCAAAGTGACTTGAATAATATATTTTCATTTCTCTTTTGTTTTTATATTTGAAATTTCTGTGCAAGCTTAATGGAAGCAATTAAAAATGCACACATATTACAAATGAGAAAAAATTGCTATTCAAATTGATGAATCAGAACAAAATAATCTTATACCTCACAGAAGGTTTGAAAATTTTATTCCAATCCAATATTACACAATGTTCTTGGCAGAAGACTTTACTTGATAAAAAGTACATGTTCATTTTTGCTATTCTAAAATAAAATACTATTTATAACATTGTACCATTTTTTATCATTAAAAACTGTCATCCTAAATTTCTTTTGAAAGGTGCTACTTAATCATCAATCAGATAGAACTAAACCCCTGGAAAAAAAAACAAATTTCTTAAACATAACTATACCATGAAGTAGCTCTTTTGAGTCACAAAACAGATGTGCATTTCAGAACTTCATGAATGCAACCAACCTCTTTTAGGCACTAAATCATTTTATAGGCAAAATAATTATTTTTTATCCTTGGTTATATTTTTTCTTTTCTTTTCTTTTCTTTTTTTTTTTTTTTTGACAGGCAGAGTGGACAGTGAGAGAGATAGACAGAGAGACAGGTCTTCCTTTTTCCGTTGGTTCACCCCCTAATAGCCACTGTGGCCGGCGCACCACACTGATCTGAAGCCAGGAGCCAGGTACTTATCCTGGTCTCCCATGCAGGTGCAGGGTCCAAGCACTTGGGCCATCCTCCACTGCACTCCCGGGCCACAGCAGAGAGCTGGGCTGGAAGAGGAGCAACTGGGACAGAATCCTGAGCCCTGACCGGGACTAGAACCCAGTGTGCCAGCACCGCAGGTGGAGGATTAGCCTAGTGAGCGGCGGCACCAGCCAATCTTTGGTTATCTTAAACATAAATAATTTATTGTAAACTTAATTGATATACAATGGGCTTGCATTAAACATATCCCACATTTCTTCTTTAAGGAACCAGGGCAGCCCTTCAGGATGGCCAATTACAACAATCATTTCTGTCCAGAACATTCTGCATTTGCAACAAAGAAAGCCTCCATCATGTTGCAATCTTTCAGGCTTACTTCCTGAGGGGGAACTCCGTAGGATTGAAACACGGACTCATCAGCAGCCAGGGATTCTTTTGACCCCAAATTGTACTTCTCTTGTTAATTTTTTTGTATGTTGTCTACTTTTATAGATTTTTGATACCTATTTTTATTTTTATTTGAGAGCAGAGAAAGAGAGAGAATTCCAGTCTGCTAATGCACTCTCCAAATGCCCACAAAAGCCGAGGTTGGGCCAGACAAAAGCTGAGTGTCAAGAACTCAATATAGATTTTGTGGGTGGCAGGAATTCAACTACTTGAGCCTTCCCGTATTGCCTCCCAGGATGAGAATTTTCAGGATATTAGAGTTGGGAGTAGAGCAGGAACTCGAACACAGGCACTCTGAGAAGGGATACCAGCATCCCAAATGATTTCCTAACCATGAAGTCAAATGTACGTATCACATGCTGTCTACTTTTATATTTAGTGACTATCATGGATCTTCTGTCTTCAAAATGACACTGTACTTTTCTCCTTTCATCTCCACACCCATGTATTCTGCAACTCATTGAGTAACTTTATTTGAATAGTTACTATGTAGGTCACAGTACTACAATATCTCTAAAATGACACTGTAATAATTTTACATACTTCCACATCCCAACTCAAAGGGTAAAAATATTCTAGCCTTCCTCCTCCTCCAGTAATTTGAGTATCATGACATAGCACTGTAATTCACCTAATGTCAACACAATTAACCCTCACATACATCCAACTCCTTTACTACTCTATTTCCAAAATGCTAAAGAGGAAATATACTGTTTTTTTCTGACTTATTTTCTCATTGCAAAACCAACCTTTATAGTTTAATAGTCTGGATTAATATACCACTGAGGGTGTGTTTTTTTCCTTCCTTCCACATTAAAACTACACTGGTCTTTCCAAATGTGAAATGTGCTTTACAAAAATTTCTGCATTCTGTCCTTGAAACTGCTGTCCTCAGGATGGGTTCTAATGTTCTTCATGAACACAGTATATTATTTTATTATTTTTCATCATCTTTACTTTCATTTGCAATAACTCCAATCCAGTAAACTCAATTAGACTTGACATCCTCATTGATCTATGTAATCAATCTGTTTTCTCTCACTTCAATACTGATTCCTTCCATAGAATATTTCCCTTACTTTCCTCATCAGTAAGTTAATCTGAATAACTTCTACACACCCTTTAGGACTCAGATTTGAAGTTTTATTTAAAATAAAATTTTGCCTGATTTTTTTAACAGTGGATTTTATATTCCTACAAATTGTTCCACAAAGTACCTCATAGGTATTTAAACCATGACACTTACAGTTTTTTTTTTTTCAAATGCTTACTTATTTACTTATTTGAGAGGGGTTAGGGAGAGAGGGAGGAAGAGGAAAAAAGAGAGCAAGAGAGAGAGAATGTGTTCCCAGATGCTGGCACACTTGCCAAATGTCAACAATGACCTGGCCCTTGAAAGCTATAGCTTGAAGCTGAACAGAACTGAGAACTGAACCAGGTCTCCCATATTGATAATAGCAACTTAGTTTCTTGCCATCCCCACTACCTTCCAAATTATGCATTAGCAGGAAGCTGGAGTCAGATGCTAACAAGGCCAAGATTTATTTTTATAGAACGTAGTCTGTAATTTAATCTTGGTTTTATTTCTCACTAAACAAACAAACAAACAAAATACAAAAGCAAAAAAATTTTTGCAAGGCATCAAACCCAGGCACTTTGATATGAGACTGAGGCATCTTAACCACCAAATCCCATTTTAAATGGGTCATCAAAGAAGGAGGTACCTTTCTCTGAAGGGAGGAGAGAACTTCCACTTTGACCATGGCCTTGTCTAAATGTGATCAGAGTCAGTGAACTCAGGGGGCTTCCATAGCCTTGGCAGCTCATGACAAGAGCCTAGGGTGATTACTGATGCCATAAACAAGAGTGTCAATTTGTTAAGTCAACAACAGGAGTCACTGTGCACTTACTCCTCATGTAGGATCTTTATCCTTAGTGTGCTGTACATTGAGATTTAATGCTATAACTAGTACTCAAACAGTATTTTTCACTTTATGTTTCTGTGTGGGAGCAAACTGTTGAAATCTTTACTTAATGTATGCTAAACTGATCTTCTATATATAAAGAGAATCGAAAATGAATCTTGATGTGAATGGAAGGGGAGAGGGATTGGATAAGGGGAGGGTTGCGGGTGGGAGGGACGTTATGGGGGGGAAGCCATTGTAATCCATATTCTGTACTTTGGAAATTTATATTCATTCAATAAAAGTTAAAAAATAAACAGCATAATACTGGTACAGAAACAGATGGATAGACCGATGGAACAGAATAGAAACAGCAGAAATCAACCCAAACATCTACAGCCAGCTTATATTTGATCAAAGATCCAAAACCAATCCCTGGAGTAAGGACAGTCTATTCAATAAATGGTGCTGGGAAAATTGGATTTCCACGTGCAGAATCATGAAGCAAGATCCCTGCCTTTCACCTTACACAAAAATTCACTCAACATGGATTAAAGACTTAAATCTACGACCTGACACCATCAAATTATTAGAGGGCATTGGAGAAACATTGCAAGATATAGGTACCGGCAAAGACTTCATAGAAAAGACCCTGGAGGTGCAGGCAGTCAAAGCCAAATTTAACTATTGGGATTGCATCACATTGAGAAGTTTCTGTACTGCAAAAGAAACAGTCAGGAGAGTGAGAAGGAAACTGACAGAATGGGAAAAATTATTTGCAAACTACGCAACAGATAAAGGGTTAATAACCAGAATCTACAAAGAGATCAAGAAACTCCACAAAAACAAAACCAACAACCCACTTAAGAGATGGGTCAAGTACCTCAATAGACATTTTTCAAAAGAGGAAATCCAAAATGCCAACAGGCACATGAAAAAATGTTCAAGGTCACTAGCAATCAGAGAAATGCAAATCAAACCCACAATGAAGTTTCACCTCACACCGGTTAGAATGGCTCACATTCAGAAATCTACCAACAATAGATTCTGGAGAGGATGTGGGGAAAAAGGGACACTAACCCACTGTTGGTGGGAATGCAAACTGGTAAGGACACTATGGAAGTCAGTCTGGAGATTCCTCAGAAACCTGAACATAACCCTACCATACAACTGAGCTATACCACTCTTTGGAATTTACCCAAAGGAATTTAAATTGGCAAACAACAAAGCTGTCTGCACATTAATGTTTATTGCAGCTCAATTCACAATAGCTAAGACCTGGAACCAACCTAAATGTTCATCAACAGTAGACTGGATAAAGAAATTATGGGACATGTACTCTATAGAATACTATACAGCAGTCAAAAACAATGAAATACGGTCATTTGCAACAAGATGGAGGAATCTGGAAAACATTATGCTGAGTGAATTAAGCCAGTCCCAAAGGGACAAATATCATATGTTCTCCCTGATTGGCAACAACTAACTGAGCACCAAAGGGGAAACCAGTTGAAGTGAAATGGACACTATGAGAAACAGTGACTTGATCAGCTCTTGTCCTGACTGTTGATGTACAATGTAATACTTTATGCATTTTAGTATTTTCTCTTTGTTTTGTTCTATACTATTGGTTGAACTCTGTAATTAACACACAATTATTCTTAGGTGTTTAAATTTTAACTGAAAAGTGATCCCTGTTAAATATACGAGTGGGAATAAGAGAGGGAAGAGATGTACAATTTGGGACATGCTCAAT